GACGTTGATTGATTTCCTCCAACGTTCTCCAGTTTTTGAATTCCCTCTCCGTCATCTGTTGGGCTGGCCTGGCATCGTCCATGAGCTTCCTTACGGCAGTATACCTGTTATACAAGGCCTCGTAGATCTGTTGCTCGCCAGGCCATAGCTTGCGTGCTATGACCAAAAGTGGGTTTAGGTAGGTTGCTTGTGTTGGAAGCTTGGTGGAATAAGTCCTCTCCAGATACTCAATAATTCTAGCCGTATCTCTCACCCAGTCGAGGCTATCAAAATCCTCCTTTGGAGCGTACATACCCTTGAATAAGCGTTGTACACGTGTACAGTACTGATTAATTGTGAAGGGCTTTCTTGTGCCATCATCAAACACAGTGTGAAGCAATCGCTCAGCTGTTGAAACTGTAGTTATAACCTTTATGTCGGCCTTTAAAGCTCCCATGCTTGGGGTATCTAGATACATTGATAAAAATGTTGACCAGCAACCGACCGCGGGCGGCCTAGATAACGAATATGTATGTACATGAATTTTTTCACCAATTTGATGCACGTAGAAGCTTTTGTTGGTTATCTGGCGCGCAAAAGCTCCTACAACCCGGCAAACGGATTTCTGATATCGGCCGATATCAGAAATGCTCTTCGCTATCCGCAGATACCTGAATATGGGTGTACATATTTCGTTGAACGAGGCTTTTTAAGCAATTCTAATATCTAGGTGAGGAGCTTTCTGGAGATGCCTCGGTCACGCGAGCCTTCTGTGGATTTGCAAGCATGTCTAAGCCTAATATTGGCTCAATATCATCGGTCCAAGCAACGCTCGGGGCATACCGTGGTGACTCGTAGCATTCCTCATGCTGTTTGTCAGCCGTCGGGAGAGGGCTCTCGATCTCATGCAAAACCTCCCGTGCCTTGGACCGTAAATGACGAGCCCGACGTCTAGCGCGTTGTGCACTGTTCAAGGCAACTCTCCAATCCACTTTGACACCGTAAGGGCCATTCACGCCAGTCTTGTCCCACCACGCGTTGAAGCCTTCCGCAATGAGGGATCTCACCAGAGCACGAGTTATGTGGTCCAAGTTGAAGGGATGGGTGAGCGCTCGCATGCCACCTAAAGCTGCAGCATCTAGGATCGTATTCAATATTCCGAATTCTTGATAACTCCGCACTATTGCGGACCGTGCAGATTCGAGTACATGACGATCCATCTCGAGGATTGCGGCCCGATTCAATGGGCGATAACCGAGAATTGCATCCATGCTGATGAATGTACACGAAGGAAATTCGAAAGCTGTTTGCACATGGCTTGTGTTGCGTACTCCTATGTGCTTCGAGCTACACATCGTTTGAAGGCCTTTGAATCCTTAAATCTCTTCTCTAACTCGATAGTAATCCAGCTCTGCCGAGCTTCTTTGAGTGCCTTTCTTGATCCCTCCAATGCGCTCTCATAGTCGGCAAACCTCACTAAGTATGCCATGTATTCATTGACGAGCGTCATCTCCACGTTCAGCCACGCCTTCCAAAGCATACCTCCGGCTTTTTGGGCACTTAATCCGGGTTTGAAACGGTCGGAATTGAGTGGCCCAAAGAGTTGGGTTGCATAGCATGCTCGAATGATCTCCCAATCCGAGCGGTCAAATGTGTTGCGCTCAAGCTCTCGCCGTATGATGTGATTGTAGAAGCGGGCAAATTGCTGTAGGTGCCTGAGGCTTCTTCCCTGCATTTGGAAAAAAGACCATTCATGAATATAGCATATGATTGAAAGAGGATGTACACCACCAATTACTCAATATCGATAAATGTACACGTCCAATAGCTATATAATCGTGTACATCAACCAACATGTTGACAAGCTAACAACAAAATTACTGGGCAACTCACCTCCACCTTGTCCGGATGGAATCGGAGAGACCATGCAGAATGATTCAAGTGAATCTGCCCGCTATTGAATCTTGCCTTGACCTCTTGGGCGCCAAATTCGGCATCCGCGAGCAGCCATGAGATAGGTGGTGGCATGTACTCTGGACCCTCGGGCTGGGGCGGTTGTGGGACAGCGGTGATGGCAAGGGCACGGTACTTTGCTATGTGACGCGCGCGAAAGACGGCCCGTTCTCCCGCGATCGTGGTCCTGTACTTTACAACGGCTGTCTGATTGCTTTCATGTCTCACTTGACGGGCGGCCTCTGGATCTAGACCATGGAACTTTGAGACGGGTCGATCGCTCGGCAGCTTTGCCGGCTCGCAGCCAGTCCTCCTACGATGAGCTTCTATGGCTTGCTTCGATGCAAAGCCCTTGCTACAAGTCACGGACTGATTCTGTGAGTGCCGCTCGAGGCACACAAAGCAACTGTCATTCTTCTCCCAAAGTTGGGGAGTAGCTTGCGGAATGGGAGGCTCGGGCGAAGCGGTTGCGGCGTCAGTGAATGTCGCCATAGTGTGACTTATGTGTAGTAGGATTGAGCATTTGGTGCACCTCGCTATTCCCTAAGCTCATGCAAAACACTCTCGATTCGCCAATAAATATGCCTTGAAAGTTCCTTTGTTGTGCGAAGGCCTCGACAATTTGCACCATCATGCTATACAAGCAAGCCTTCACAACGGTGCATATTGACGGCTTAGTAGATGTCCTACAACGTGCTCCAAAGAAACTGCGCGGCATGGTTCGAAAGGGCCCCGACAATTTGCACCAGCATGCTATACAAGCAAGCTTTCACAACGGTGCATATTGACGGCTTCGTAGATGTCCTACAACGTGCTCCAAAGAGATTGCGTGGCATGGTTCGAGAGGGCCCCGACAATTTGCACCGACCGTTCTATACAATGAAGATTTCAAGCCAGTGCAAATTATTGTCTGGTTCTCACTATCAACTACAACGTCTGACAAAAGCGGTCGGCATGGTCGGCAGACAATTTGCACCAACGGTCCTATACAAATAGGATTTCTATATTGCAACGAAATCCCGACTCATGATTTGTCAACAATCGGAAGTTACATGTATGATCCTCCCGATCCTAAAGCTTTGACAAAGTGAACCCATTTATCCCGTGTTAACATTCATGTATAGATCGGCCACTAGGAGTGGTTTCTTCAACCCGAGATTAATCGAGAATGTACATCAATCAAGCATGCTTTAATTGATTATGTACACGTTAATGGCCATATAATCGTGTACATCATCTAACATGATGAAGCAAACAAGCCAACAACAATGGGCGACTCACCTCCATCTTGTCGGGGTGGAATCATTAGAGACCATGCAGAGTGGCTCTGCGCGGCATGGCTCGAGAGCCGGGCCCAGTCAATTTGCATCATCATACTATACAAAGAAGCATCAATAACAATGCAAAATGATGACGGCTTCATGCCATCTCTTACAATACTAATTGGAGAAAGTGTCCGGCATGGGTCCGTCAATCTGCACCATCATGCTATACAAGGAAGCCTGAATAACAATGCAAAATGACGAAGATCGTGCCATCCCACTTAATATGCATAGTAATGAAGGGCCGCCCGGCCTTCGACCATCCCACTTAATATGCATAGTAATGAACGGTACGAACGTCGTGTCCGAGTGTCCGAGATTTTGACAAAACTTTTTCAACAGCTGCGGGTATCCGAATCGTTGGGCCTGGACCACCCCTCTCAATATGTGCCGATTTTTGTAATTTATCGAGCGACCAGACAGGAAGACAGGACAGACGGGAGTTCGGTCCAAGTCTCCCGGCCTATCGCGACCATCCCAGCCAATATATTGAACGTTTTATTATTTCCGACCGAACAGACAGGAAGACAGGACAGACGGGAGTTCGGTCCAAGTCTCCCGGCCTATCGCGACCATACCAGCCAATATGTCGACCCTTTTATAATTTCCGAGCATACAGACAGGAGACGGCACAGACAAGAGTTTGGTCCTCCGGCCGCCTTCATATGACCGGGTGAGAGCAGTGAGAGCAATTTTTGGCAAGGTTGCTTTTACCCGGGCTAACTCGGTTGTCTGGCATGCGTCGCCCGGTCAATTTATCGGAATATTGTTGATTTATCGCGCCTGAGAGCGGTGAGAGCGATGAGATTGAATTTTGGCAGGGTTTCTTTTGGGACCGGGAGGCCCCTCACTGACTTAGGGACAAGGAGCAGCCCAAGGGGCGGGAGCTGGGCGGGACCGGGAGCGGAGCGGCCGGTGACTACAACCTTAGGGGTAAGCGACCGGCTGGGCCGAGCGGAGCGGCCGGTGACTACAAGCTTAGGGGTAAGCGACCGGCCTAGACCCTGGCGGGGTGCGAACCGGAGGACTGGGGGCAACCGGAGCGGAGCGGCCGGGGTTGGTACAAGCTTAGGGGTAAGCAGCCGACCCAAGGGTGGGGCGCACCGGCCGACCCAAGCCCCGGAGGGGGCGTGGGGAAGCCGGAAATCAAATCGGATAGCCCTTAGATACATACATATTAGCAAAGTTGCCGGGGGTCAAACACTCTCGTACTGTAATCTGTTATAAAAATTTTCTTCTGGACAGAGGAAAAAAATTATAACAGATTAGCAGTACGACTTTTGTCTTTGGGGACCTCGTTGCGAATATGTATGTAGTAAGGCCATACCCAAAAAGATAGTAAACACTAATATTTATTCTTTTAGAAAGTCAATTATAATATTTACTATCTTTTTGGGTATACCCTTAGATACATACATATTCGCAACGAGGTCCCCAAGGACAAAAGTCGTACTGCTAATCTGTTATATTTTTTTCCCTCTGTCCAGAAGAAAAATATAACAGATAAGCAGTAGGACTTTTGTCCTTTGGGACCTCCTTGCGAATATGTATGTAGTAAAGCCATACCCAAAAAGATAGTAAGATATTATAATTGACTTTACAGAAGAATAATATAACAGATAAGCAGTACGACTTTTTCCTTTTGGGACCTTGTTGCGAATATGTATGTAGCAAGGCCATACCCAAAAAGAAAGTAAATATTATAATTGACTTTCCGGAAGAAACATATAACAGATAACTTGTTACCCACTTAAGAACAGAAAGCAAAATATCGGCTTTTTGTCTCTAAGTGAGTGCTCGGTGGTCCCAATCAACCACACTTGGGCTCGTACCGGCTTCTTTTTTTTGGGTCCGGGAGGCCCCTCACCGACTTAGGGATAAAGAACAGTCCGGAAGGGGCGAGAGCTGGGCGGACCGGGAGCGGCCGGGGCGACTACAAGCTTAGGGGTAAGCGACCGGCCTGGACCGGGGCGGGGTGCGAACCGGAGGAGCGGCCGGGGCGACTACAAGCTTAGGGGTA